CCCTCTCTCTCTCACTCTGTCCCTAACCCCTCTCTCTCTCACTCTGTCCCTAACCCCTCTCTCTCTCACTCTGTCCCTAACCCCTCTCTCTCTCTCTCTCTCTCTCTCTCTCTCGCTCGCTCGCTCTCTCTCTCCCTAATCCCTCGCTCGCTCTCTCCCTAACCCCTCTCTCGCTCTCTCCCTAACTCCTCTCTCTCTCTCTCTCTCGCTTTCTCCCTAACCCCTCTCTCTCTCTCGCTCTCTCCCTAACCCCTCTCTCTCTCGCTCTCTCCCTAACCCCTCTCTCTCTCTCGCTCTCTCTCTCGCTCTCTCCCTAACCCCTCTCGCTCTCCTTCTCTCCCTAACCCCTGCCTCGCTCTCCCGCTCTCTCTCTCTTTCTGTCCTCACCCCCTCTCCATAGCTTATTGAGACCTACCCGGGCACCAGCTGCATGGACTCGGCCTGCTGCTTCTCCGGCAGGAAGGACGGGCGGGAGCGGCTGGGCCAGCTGGTGGAGCGAGTGATGAGCCGCTACGGGCCCGGCCGGGTCACCAGGTGCGACACTGTCCCCCCCCGGGGCCTCTGACGCCGCCGCCGCCACATCTCCCATGGGCTGAGGGTGGATCAGCCTGCCGTATTGCGTGAGGAGGTGGTAGGAAGGTCTGTGTGTGTGAGTAGGGCAGCTAGAAGAATGGAAACCTCATACCTGGATCTCCAAGATAAAAATGCAGGAGGCAGGAGTAGCATTTGCTGGTCTTGGTCGCCTTTTTCCCTGGAAACATCGTCTGGTATTTGTGTGTGTCACGGTTGCTGGGATACATGTTATTTCTCCAGATTGCCTTCACTAATGGTATACGCCTTCGGTTATTTTGACGAGCGCAAGTCAATTAATCAGATCTTTGCAAATCTCATTAGCTCTCCTCCCCCCACACCAACCAGCCTACTCTCTTCTGATGGTGGAGACTAATTTCATTGTCTGCTCTCTGATGTAATTGCATTGAGGAGCTGAGCAGAGTTGGTCATGGTGGCCTGGTCTTGACGGCCGCCCTGTGGGGCATCCGCACAGACTCTGTCCTATGCTGTATCCCTCTCTTCAGGGTTAATCTTTTTTTGTTTTCCTCGGTTTTATATACAGCAAACTTGTGAACTTGTTGTGAACCCGTTTCCCTTCTGACAGATATCTTAGATTTGTATTTATTAGGATATACCTTTTTGTAACGTCCAGGCCTTGTTTTGTACTTCTTTTTGACATTTGACATGCCGAAGTGTTTTGTTTCAGTGGAAAAAGGAATGGTAGCATGCGTCTGTGATGCTGTATCGAGTCCCTTTCCTTGTCTTCACCTCCACTGTCAATTCTTTACACCTTGGCTGTTACTGTCCTAAACTGGGGAAGTTAAATCTCCCCCAAATCTCCCTTAAAGAAAAAAAATAATGCATGAAACCCGGACTGCTAGTCGCCTACGTCTTAATGCAACAGCACTGCCACCAATAGGGAGAGGGCAGGAAACGCTGAATGTCCGAGACTCCGCCCCCTCCGACAGTGGGTCACCACCTCGGGCTGCTGAAGGCTTTATCCGGCGGCCTAGTCACGGGACCAAAAGCGATGATCTGGAAACCGCCGCGTTTCAAAAAGTACTACTGCATATTTAGTGACTCTTACCTTAAACATGAAGCCTTATTGAGGAAAGTCTCAATCGCATGGGAACTGCCTTTGATATTTTATTTGAAAACGCCGTATATTGCAGAAGATTTTTAGTTTTCTCTGAGTTTGTCTGAAGGTCCTTTCTTCCTCAGTAGCTGAAAATTCTTTGTATTTTTTTTTGGGGGGGCCACACAAGATAGGAGGAAAAGATGTTTCCAGATTGCCCAAGTATATCTATCGCTGCTGTGAGATATCTGGGGATGGTATTTCACAGTGATGTGATGTTTATCCAAATATTAATGTACCGGTCTGTGTTTTTCCTAAATTGTCAACCATATTAGTTGCAGGTGAGACACTTTGTCTAACCGACAGGAATAGCTGGAATTTGAGCGGTGACTGTTTCTGTTTGTGTGGTTGGATATGCGTTGCTTTTTTGGCAAGATCTTAAAACGGTTGTCTGTTGGAGCATCCGAACATTTTATGACAAAGCGCTTTAAAAGTCTGTTAAAATGTAATACTTCAGTTATCTAAAAATATCTATTTGAGTATAAAGTATAATTAGCTAAGTAGAATATTTTCATATATCTGTGTAATGGAATGTGTCAAAATGTGAACTGAGAATGAGAAGGTAAACAGGTATGTGAATCGCGTTGTGGCATACACATGCGCCCTCTAGTGGTACTGTAGACCAAGGCCCGTGTGCCTTTCCCACAGTGTAAAGATTTCTCGTATTTCAAGGGCTCCTATTAATGCTCAATAGGAATGCTACATATTTTTTTACGCTGGGTAGATTCGTTAAATCAAGAGAAGCCATATTTTATTTTATTTTTTGTTTCTTTTCTGTACAGTTTGATATTTAAGTGATTTTGGGTGATTGCATTTAAAGGCAGGTAACAAATATACTACTAAACGTAACACTAAAGTTGTACATGTGTGGTGTATTCAAAAATGTGCAATAGCTTGAGAATGAGGAAACTGTAGGTTTTTGCTGCCTCTTGTGTGCGTCACGTGAGTCATCTGGTACTAACATCTGCCGCACCTCATCCAGTCCTGCATGGCTGCTCTCCTGCCTGTCTGTGTGCGACGGCTGTGTTAAGTCATGTCCAGATGTTCAGGTGGTATAGTCTAGCAGGACTGCAGCAACTGCGCAGCTCCCAGCGCGGTGCAGGTCCTCTGCTGCTAGATGGTAGGTGGATGTTGAAAGGTGTGGGGGTGGGGTTAGTGTGGTGGGCGGGGTTTGTGGTGGTGGGCGGGACTGGGGCGGGGTCTGTCTAGCTCAGTCATGGTCTCCCAGTCTTCCAGACAGCCAATCCCTATTCTTATCCATTGTTCTTGCTGCATGCAGATGGTGGAGAGACTCGGATCCCTTCTGTTCCAATGACCGGAGCATCCTGACACACTCCACAGTGGAGGCCACACGTTGCTAGGGTGCCGGAGAGGCGCTTGCAAACACCCAGAAGCAGCCCCCCCACCCCCCGCCCTGCTTTTAGTGCCACCACGGGGAGGAACGCGGAGCCGGTTGGCCCGGGACCCGCCTAACTCGCGTTTCCTCTGTAAATAAAGGTTTAGTTACACCAAAGATGAGCAGTCCAGTGATGGATTTTGTCAGGCTTCACTTAGTACAGAATAGTCTGCTTTGCTCTGGTAGATATCTGCTGCTTTACCTTAAGACTGTTTTGGAGGGCCTGTATTTCCTGAGGAAAACAGGTGTCCTTTTTAAGCCATATCCCTTCTTTTTTTTTTGGTGCACCTGATATTTAAGGAATTACATTGAATCGGTACTTATGTCTATTGAATGACTGGATACCTCTCCTCCCCTTTCCCAAAATCATTACGCATAAATGTCTGGAATGGTCTGCTTAGCTTAACAAAGAAGTTATTGAAGAATTCCTGGAATGTCGAAAATGGTTTCAAGATGACCGTTTTCACTCGTTTGAAGTCTTGTGTACCATCATCTTGGTTTTTTTTTTCTACATGCCGTCCGTCACCTTCGCACCAGCATGTCATTGACGTTCACGTAATCGTCCTCGTTGCTGTGTGCCGTCATTTATGTTGCTACTAACTGCTTGTTTTGTGACATGATGCGTGTTTCCAGCACCGGGCAAGTGAATGTGGTAGCCCACGCATATCACTTGGCCGGCAGCGATGACCTGCATTCCTATCGTTAGGGCAGGGGTTAGGGGGTAAACAAGACAACCGTTTTAAACTTACCGCTGCGAGACGTGAATGCTTCTCAAAGGATATTTGGGGGAGACGAGTATCCCAGAAGGACATATCCTGCAGAAGCTTGCCCTCCAGGATAACTGCAAATGGGCTGGACTTGATCTCCTAACTCGTGAAGATACCTGGATTCCACAGCGTAGACATGAAGATACATGACAATGCTGCCCCAGCTGTGATTTCTCTTCTACCCCCTTCGTCGTCACATCGCCAGTTACGTGAACGGGGAATTTTAGAGGTTTTTAAGCTGTGCGATGGAGATAGCTGCAGGTCCAGACTGGGAACTGTGGACCGTCATGGAGTTGCTTGTGGTTTGCTTTTCTCCTGGTTTTTGGTCCTCTGAATGTACTTTTGGTCTCCTGTGATATTTCAGATGTATTTTTACTGCCCTGCGGCAGCGTCCGTCCGTCCCAAACAGTGAGCTTTAGACCCTAATTGTTCTACGTAGTGGCAGAACTCGTGACGCATTAGCAATAACACCCCAAAAGGACCTCAGACATCGTTTTTGTTGCATCGACTTTATTTCTGTGTTGTTTTTCAAATAAATCTTATTTTTGTCTGTTTACTGTATTCCTTTTGTCAACAAAGGCATTTTTTGCTTATGTGTGAGGACTATGCTATTTACAGAATAAAAAGTTGAAGAAGATGAGTCTAATTACGATGATTTAAAGTATAAAGTCCATTTCTGCTGCTGTTTGACATACCTCTCTGGTACAAGGGGGAGAAAAATTAACATCAGATTAACAGCAGGGAAACGTGCACCGGTTTAAATAACCAAACCTTTACCTATGGTACTGATGCGCATGTTGATTGGGGCACAAATCGCTAAGTGAAGAAACGGATCCCAGTCCTTTGAATTAGCTAGTCGTCATTAGCACAAACTGAAACAAAGAATCGACTTAACCAAGTTTTATTCATCTTTCATAAAACTTGAAAAACATTTAAAAAGAACTTAAAACCAGCATGTTCGCGCCGTCTCGTGTGGACACGCTGGCCTTAGACGGCCCGATGCACTGCTTCTGATCCATAGGCGGTATTTCAGTTTTGTGCATTTAACAGCAGACGCTGTATTAAAACAGTATGCTGATGTCATCTTTAGTAGACTTGATATCCTAATAGATACAAATTCATTTTTTTTGTACATACCAAGTAAGTTAAACTGAAACACGATACTACCTTTAGTTACGAAAGCGTTTACAAAAACTTAGGGTTCAGACGAGCACAAATTATGGTACAGCGACAAACACAGCCATAAAGTCACTTTTAGATATGTCAAATTAAAACTGAATGCCTCAGACTCACGATTCTTCATGTCAATTTGGAATGACAAGTTTCAAACAATATTACAAATCGATATTCCGTACTGGCCTGTCACCCAAAAGGTTTATTAAAACACAAGAAAGGGAAAGCAGGAACGTACTCTGAGTATTAAAAAGAAACTACGCTGACATTCTTTAACAGACCCCCTCCACTGCTGTTCATACGTGGGCATGACCGCAACACTGGGATGGGAGTGTTCCACCACAGGCTGTGGCCCCCACACAACTGGAGAGACCAGGAAAGAATGCCCTAAAGTCTAAACGTCCGGACTGCCCCAGGTAACTGAAGACACGTCCTCTGCGTCGTGTTCACAACCCATCTTGATCTCGGCAGTCTGTAAGATGGGATCGCTGGTTGTGCCTTCCGGTCCCCAGCCAATCACTCACCAGCTTCTCTGCGGCGGTTTCTTTTTTTTTTTTATTATTATTATTATTTGTACAAAGTATGTACAGTGTTCTTGAAGGATGTGGCAGCGCTACACCGTCGTGCTTTTTGTCCCGACCTGCGGCCGTGCAAACTCCACAAAATCGTCGATAAGGACAGGCCACGCTCCTGGAAGGGACGGGGAGAGTGCCGGTTACAGCCAGACGTGGTCTGTAGCCAGCTCCTGGAAGACTTTAAAGTAATCCTGTTTAACTGTCTTCAGAATACACTAGAGCAGTGTTTTTGAAACAAGTCCTTGGAGACCCCCAGCCAGTGCATATTGTTGATCTCTCCCAGCTCTCAGCCAATCAAGACTACTGAATACTTGGTAGAGGTGTGTCTTGATTGGCTGGGAGCTCGGAAGGAGCAAAAATGCGGACTCTCTGGGGGTCCCCAAAGACTGAGTATGGAAACGCCGCACTAGAGAACATTAACCAGCTACATGCCTGAGTGCTCAGTTTGGTACAATCCCATTCTGTTGTTATATTCAGCATCACATTTTATGTTGTAACCACATTCCAGTTATATGCAATGGGGAAAAATGAACAAGGTAAATGAGAACAGCTGACAAAAAAAACACACCTTCCTCATCATAATTGGACATGTCATCAGTTATCATTGTGCTGAAATCTAACAGAAGGTTCCAGGTATCTTTCGGTATGGATCGTTTATGGTGTTCCTGGGTAGAAAGGGAACATGAAACAAAGTTTTTATTTCCAGCGATTCAGAACATCCGTAAGTCGAAAGGAAAATACTGTGGAACAACAAAACATAGTTTCACAACACTCATGCTAAGACATTCTAGTATGTTTATATGTTTAAAAAATATTAAAAGGAATATTCACTGTGAAATCCTTCAGGAAAATAAATCACATATGAGTCTATTTTATTAATGATCATCAAAACCAAAATGATATTCAACTAAACTGGATTGCAAATTAGAAATCAGGGAAATTCATAACATGGTTAATTCTCCGGTGCTTGACAACAATGCAGAAAATGCTTCAAACTCTATAAAAAAATAGACTTACCAATAAAAATGTGTTCCAAAGGTCTAGGAATTTGAACCTTCCAGCCAGTACTAAATTCCAATATGCAATTGCCATTTCTAAATCTGCAAAACATATGAGCATTAGGAAAGTGTCCCTACAAATATATACTATCCAACCATTTTCTGACCACTTACTAGTCATGGGTAAAAAATATATTCATCAGTTAAATCCACTTAGAGGTCTAAGCCCTCAAAATTCTTGAAAATCGCAAGATGACAGAGCAGTAAACCTGTACATACCTAGACCTTTCTGTCCTGGATTCTTTGCAAAGTTAAATGTAAACTGGTAAAAATCTTTAAATTTCCCTTGGTCTTTCAGCTCTTGTTCCATTTTTGGCAATTGTGCTTTTAATTTCTCTATACTGTCACACCTGGGTTAAAAAAAAAAATTGCCAGTGCTTCATTATGTACAATAAACTGAGAACACCAACATACTTTTATAAAGGGAAGTAATGTACCTTTTGTGATGTCACAATGCAAAGCCTTGCACAAGTAAACACTTGGCAACAATGTGGCAACAACATTTGGCATTCAGTTTAACATGGCCGATCTCATTCTACTGTGTGCTCACCCCTGGCCAGCCATGCCGTCTATGAACTCCTGCTTAGAAAACTCGCACTGTGTAGCCGCCCGGAACTTCCAGGCGATGAGGAGCACGCTGATACTCGCCGGGTCTAGGCCCAGGTCGTCGCAGAACTGCTGGATGCCGTCAATCCCGATCTTATTGTCGTCGTGAGGGTCTGCCAGCAGAGAGACAGTATGTGAGGTCCCTGGAACTACTGGGGGCCTTGCTCAAGGGCCCGACAGTGGCCCCACAATGAAATCACTCTGCCAGCTCAGGGATTTAGTCCAGCCACCTTCTGATCATAGGCACTACGTGCTAAGCCATGCACAGTACCCCCATACACCAGATAGACAGCAGTCATCTGAAAGTGGGTGTGAAGCACTGTTTTGCATTTTGTGATAGTGCTAAGATTGAATAGAAAGACTGTTCTACACATACGAAAATAAATATAAAGTGTGTGAAATGAAATATTTTTGACAGCTGTGTGTGGTCATTTGTTTTCAATGTTAAAAAATTCACTTAATCAGCAAGCAATAACAAAAGATGAAACATTTCATACTTGATTCAAACACTACAGGTATGTGAAAGTACAGCCGTCGGAGTAACCCTGTCACCGCCCTATCCATCTGACAACCCAACGAACACTCAAAAGAAAAACTACTACAGACTTCTCACAAATGCTAACACACACAAGCAGTGAAATATGCATAAACGATAGATATGTGCCTATGGAAAATGACTAAGCAGGCCAACAGAAACCAAATGTATATTTATAGAATAGGCTTGAAGTTATATGTAAATTTTCTCACTTGTTTGTGCGAACATAAGTACGCTTTACCCACGTACATCCACAAGGTCAGTATATACTATATACCCACAACAACATAAATCTATTATATAATTAATTGTGTTTTGCTGGATTAAATGACATTCCTGTGTTATTTGATCATATTGAATTTAAATGAATTACATTTTTCCTCCTGTCATTCCAATTCAAAATCATGTGTAGTGTGGCCAGTTCAATTCAAATTATGATTCCAGGTCATGAATATAATGCGACACAATTCATAACCTCTGAATTTTGCACGGCCCTGGCGTGAAGCATTTGCTGACAATCTGGAAGGAGCCATTTCCTTGTTGTGGCACAGTGGGTAGCATTGGCGGCCTCACACCTCCAAGCTTGGGGGTTTCAAATCCTGCCTTGGCTGTGTGTGGACGTTACATGCCTGCCCCCCTCCCCCCACACTAAGGCGCAGGCTTCCTCCCGCAACCCACAAACATGCCGATAGGCTAATCCGTATCCCTAAATGGCCCACAGTATATGAGTGGGTATGTGCCCTGTGAAGGACTGGCATCCCTTCTAGGGCACACTCCAGCACTGTGCCTTATGCTACCTCGGATAGGCTCCAACCCCCCAGCCCACACCCCCCCAAACCCTGACCGGGGTAAATGATTAAAAGATGGATGGATGCTTCCTCCTGAAATAAACCCAAATGCTTTCCTTCTGTGAAGAGGACACCTTTGCATTATAAATTAATAATCACTAGGTTCAGTAGAGAATCATATCAAGTAAACATGACTTGACTGTATTATACAGCACTGGACCAATTCCAGCCATTTGTATATTTGAGTAAGTTCATGTAGTAAGATTATGTCTGAATTAGGCTTGCTGAATGGCAGGTTGTTTGGTCACCTGTGTCACTTACTTACCTCTGTATCTGTTGTAGAGCTGTTCTAACTTTTTTCTATCCAAAACCCCCTTTAGACTTTGTAAGTACAGTTCTGGGTTTTGGAAAAAATTGTCTGTGGCAACATCTAATTTCCAGTCATTCTGCGACAGGCAACTCAAAGCTGTCTTTTCAGTGGACTGTGTGAAGATCATGAACTGGCGAACTTTATCCTTCTGTGAGGATTTCAGCTTGTTCTGCAGGGGACACACAAGTGGAAGAATTCAGTCCACACTCCACCCAGTATATGCAGAATCATCCACAAATCTAGAAATGTTGCCATTTAATCTGGAAGTGCAATATTGTTGAGTGAATTCAAAACTGCCCACATTAGTCCAAAGTCTACAGACAGTTGCTACAAAAAGCTGGACAGACTGCATAAAAGGCAAGAAGGCAGCTGTCAGGCATTATGACAGACGCCGGCCAGTATCCAGGCCATTATACCTGTGGCCTGTACTACGAAGCAGGGTTACTGGCTTATCGGGGTAACTTGTCGAATTTAAGGTAGTCTGGGCAAAATGTAAGTGAATGAATATGAAGTCCATTTAAACTGTGGTACCTTAAATCCGACAAGTTACCCCGAAAAGCCAGTAACCCCGCTTCGTAGTACAGGCCACCGGTTAGTTAAAGGGCTCCTCTCGCAGCGCATCTGCTTGTCATCAGCTCTTTAAATCAATGTGGATCCCAGCAGTCGGCCGAGATCCCGGCTGACGTTTTACTGTCAGTAAAGGAGTATTGCTGGCCATTGCATTTTTATATTGTTAACCAGTCAATTACATTTTAAGGAAGAAAACACTGACAGCTGCAGTAGCTCTTCTTACGGATGTCAACGTCAAATAAAAGACCCACCGGCAAACAATATCTAAATAACTGACTAACAGCTACGGCGCTGCGTTACAATGTAACCGTACGTGGTGCGTCCGCTCCAGAGCCGCTTCCCGGCGAGGCGCACGTAGGCCGCGTCAATCCGCGGTCTCGCAGTGCGCATGCCTGCCGCGGCCGGTACCCCCTGAGCGCCGATGCTGCGAGCCCTCATAGCTACCGGCTCCTGCCTTATTTCGACTTCAACTACCCGGCTAGCAGCGGTGGCTAACGCGCTAGCTCAATGAATTCATACGAGGAAGCCAGCTGCAAGGAACTTCAACCTACCCCCTGCAAAACACGGCGCTCATGTTGAACGTCTATATAACGGGCTTAAGACGCTAGGTGTAGTGCCTAAATGTAAACTTACGAAACACAAAAAAATGAAACATAAATGTTTTGTATTTACCATGTTTGTAATTATCAGCCTCCTTCTTCCCCTCTCTCTCGCTCGCTCTCCTCCGCCACCTCTTCCTACGCATGCGCAGTTGGAGCCGGCGCACTCTTAGAGGCTCTGACAGCTGATAACGTGCGACCTCCCCTAAGAGCCCCCCGGAGAATTCAAAGTCCCCCAGACCCAATGGTTGACCCCCACTCCGATCCCTTTCAAATAATGAATCCCTCGAAATCACCGCTGCCAAACTCGATTATGTTCGGGGGTTAGGTTGGCTGTAACTGCAAGGCTAAGTGACATAATGAAAAAATAGATTGCAATTTAGTACAAATTAAGTAAACGGTGAATTAAGCGCTGCAATTTAACATGCTGAAAATTGTTTCGCACTAGAATGCAAAAAGGTGTAAAATTGAGGAGAAAATGAACCCCAATTCATGCTCCACTTTTCTTGTTGTTCTACCAGTCGGTCATCACCAGAGTTCCTGCAGACAAATACTGAGCTTGCAGGTGAATAAACCAGTGCGATCGTGTAAGGAGTGACACCGTCTTTACTAACTGCAATCTCCCTTGCCATACCCATGCCCTCTCGGACGCACATGAAAAGGAGAGAACAGCCGACCAATCAGCTTAGCGGCAGTTTTAACGCGAGGCGTGTTCGCCGAGCCTGGAAGAGTGTGCTGCGCGGGGCCAGGCTGTAAATCCCATTTCAGCGGTGCTTCAGCTACTCAAAAGGCCAATAATGCAGAAGAGATGCAGGATCGCACAGGGTAGATGACGCGATACTGTCATTTCGGTCAGAGTCGACGCCGTCAAAGGAACATTAGGTTGACAAGACATGAGGAGCCTTTGCAGGGTGTGCAAGCAGCGGGACAGGCGAGCGAAATAGCGGCTGCCCGTGGGGACGCTGAGGCACGCGAGTGCAACAAGCAGAGCAGTGGGGCTGTTACACTAAGCGTGAGAGTTTAGTCAACACTGCAAAATATGAGCCGTTAATTCTAAATTCCGTGCAATGCTTTCCCCTATGGTCCGCTACTGTTTATTGTTGTCATTTATTGTTACTGTCTATTAAATGTCTAAATGCCTGTTCACTATCTAAAAATGTGTATTATGCAGTTTCCCTCGGGATTATTATAATGTCTCTGTCATTTTGCAAGTGCAATATCGTGTGCTGTGTGGATTCAACATGGCCACAACAGTCCAAAGTCTATAGGCAGTTCTGGTAGACTGACATGATGAACCACATTTCCCCCCATTTGGTAATGTACTACTGGGTGTCGCAGAAGTATTACAGGCAGGCGCACACACCCCCAGCAGAGCAACACATGTCCTCCCTAGGGCTTCACCGCCCCCCCATGTGTGAAGGGCATGCACGAAAGGGGGGGTGATGGGTCATCGTTGCATGGAAAGGAATAAGGTACGAGACCAGAGCCAAGGCAGGGCGATGTCATGTCATAATGGCATGGCTTTCCAGGTTTCCATGACAACAAGACCGAATGCAACAAATAACAGCATCACCTTAAGACATCTGTGACACAAGCTAGCAAAACACCCACATCTTTATGGACCTTGCTCTGTGCACTGGGACAATCAAGATGGAACAGAGAAGGGCCTTCCCCAAACTGTTCCCACAAAGTTGGAAGCATAGAATTGTCCAAAATGTCTTGGTATGCTGAAGCATTAAGAGATTCCCTTCACTGGAACTAAGGGGCCCAGCCTCTGAAAAACAACCCCACACCATTATCCCTCTGCCACCAAATTTTACAGTTGGCACAGTGCAGTCAGGCAGGTAACGTTCTCCTGCCATCTGCCAAACCCAGACTCATCCATCAGACTGCCAGACAGAGAAGCGTGATTCCTCACTCCACAGAACACGTTTCCACTGCTCCAGAGCCCAGTGGCAGTGTGCATTACACCACTCCATTCGACACTTGGCATTGCACTGGGTGATGTGAGGCTTGTATGCAGCTGCTCGGGCATGGAAGCTCATACCTCGAAGCTCCCGGCACAGTTTTTTGGAACTCTGCAGTTATTGAGTCAAAAGAGCTATGGCGACTTTTATGCAGTATGTGTCTCAGCACTCGGTGACCCTGCTCTGTTATGTTACATGGTCTGTCACTTCGTGGCTGAGTTTCTGTCGTTGCTGAATGCTTCCAATTTCCGATAATACCGCTTACAATTCACTGTGGAATATCTAGTAAGGAAGAAATTTAATGAACTGACTTACTGCAAAGAGAGTCTGGACTCCCTGAAAAGTAAATCATGCAAGTACTCCAACAATTCACCCGAAATCCCCTGCCCAGACCTGCGGGGCGGCATCACCCCACCTGTGAGTGTAAATTGGCAGGACCTGAAAGTCACCGGGAAAATGAATCTTCTAAGATGCTAAATGTAAGTGTCACAAAGGAGCTACCCTGAGGACTTAAGGGTCAAATAGTGATGGAAGATCCCAATGTCAAACAATGAAGTGGCCAGTAGGAAGGAACTTAAAACCAGGCAATGACTGACAGCAGTCAGTAATGCCGCCCACTTTCAATTTAATTCATTTTTATATACATGGTGCTTTATATGGGTGTGTCGTGATACATTCCTGCATCATTGACTTCTGCATCAATAATTCAAATTTTAAACAAGGAAAGACAAAGAAATGAATGAAGGAAAGGAAGCCAGATGACAATTGAGGAGCGCAACCAAAATCTACCAAGTGGAGGGGGGGGGGGAATCTCTGGGGGTCCAAGGGCAGCTGGTGGCCAGACCCCCCAGGCATGCTAACATTACAGACTCTCTTCCATGACCACACGTGATGGTTCATCACATAACAAGTTACTGCAAACCTCACATGTTTCAGAATCAAACTAACTCCATGTGATTTGATCACTGAAATCCGCCACGTGGAATGAAATGACTTGGACACAGCAATGGGGAAGTTGATATCCACCCAGCAGATACGGGATGGTACAACCAATCATAAGACCCACAGGACTGGCCATCTGGTAGCAGAATGACTCAGAGCATAACGTCCGTACCGTGGCTCTGCCCTGCCTAGAGGAAGGTGAGGGAGAGAGGAAGATCAAAGTCCACAAATGATGTACGGCGGCAGATAAAAGCAACCCTGTAACTGTGTAAACATGGGGAGGCTCTGAGATATAGTCAGACAGCTTTAAAATATAGTATAAGGGCATGACTTCCATGCTGTGTTTCATTGGTGAACAGACACTTCATCTTCATAAGCTATAATGTAATTCATGTAATTCATGTGACCTGACTGGGCTTTGCCTAGTAGCTACACTTAATGGGTGGGATTATCATGTCGTCAATCACAGAGTAGCACAACTTCTCATTGGTCACCGGTGGGTTAAACAAGGCAGCAACCAAAAGTCTATTCAGTGCGCATGTGTGGCAACTGCGTTTCTCCCATCACGACTTAATAGTGCTTTTATACTGTGAGGAGCTGCAAGGTTGGACTCGGAGGCTTGTTCAGGCCGGGAATCCTGACTCTAACCAAGGCCACCATAGACATTGTGGCGGGGTGGCTATGGAGCACTGCTGGTAAAAAATGCAACAGACCTTTTTATTTTTCAATACACAATATGCTGCACCAGAAAAGAGCCAAGCATTAGCTTATATCCACATAACATGCAGAAGGCATGAAATTTGTCTTTCCTACTCTGAAATGATTGATTTCATTTCAGTCTTTGATTTCATTTCACAAATGCAGTCCAAATGAATTATTCAGCTAAATTGTACATAGTGTTCTTTGATCTATACAGTATGTGAATATGATCGATATGTGGGTCTCGTAGCACTGAGGGACCATAACAGGCACTGAAAGGGGTTTGGTGGGATGATACCTCATGCGCATTTTGCAGTAAAACATTGAGTTTATTTCACCATCTGATTATTGAAATTTCTGTTCTGAGTGGCAGGTCAGGACACCAGGAATCCTCCCAATATTCCCAATGCCCAGACCAGGCTTGAGGAACTGACTGGGTGAAGCTACTGTCCTCACAGTACTGCGATGCCCCCTGTAGGACAGAAAGAGAAGGACAGGGCCTGAGCAGTATTTGTAGGTAGGGACACTGAAATTTAAATCAGAGGGGGGTGGCCTGGGTGGGGACCATGTAAACAGTGTATAATGATTCAACAGCTTGAAAACATAACCTGTGATACATGACCTTTGCATTTATTCAAAGACAAGTAACACTGTGGTGACTTCCTGTATATTCCAGTCAAAACATCACACGGTGATTATCAATTATGATAAATGTAAAAACAAGTGGTGCATTAACGAAGCGTTTACATTGTGTCACCCAGAGCTTCTACTCAAAGCAGACTACATTTTACAGAATTAGTTCAGATCAACTGGCTTTGCAGGCATACATCAGCAAGCAAGTTCCAGCCACACACATGCTATAGCGAATGTTACCACTTTAAATGCTTAACACTGCATAATGATTCATGGTTGACAGCACAGTCTTATCACCCAAGTATCTGAAAAGATGTATAAGAAAAGCAATTAGTACATTCTTGCAGATGCTCCCTGAATCAGGAATGATTGAGCTGTGTCTAAGAAACCCTCCCACTCCGAAAAGACAACATTCATTTTGATTCTTAAAACCCATTCATCATTCCTTAATTCACATAGTGACAGGCCATTTGTTCCTCTCCTGTATCTTCTGCATTTTCAAGTTCTGAGGATTATAGAATGTATGGTTTACTCTTCGCCCGGCAATGGGAGGAAATCCATCATTGTGCTGCTTCATCCACGCACCGGCTGATCTGCTCAAATAATGTCGATCAAGTAGTTCATTTTGAAGAGTGAAAGTATGGTTCAATTTACAGCTAAGACAAATGCAAGGGTGCGAGTCTGACCATTTTTATGTACTTCTCAAGAGAAGAGCATGAGCAACGTGTTAAAGCAGAGCTGTAAGGAGAAACGGTACTGAAAGGTACAGGACCACCTTTTCTTTTTAGTTTTCATTTCCAGACTACTTCTGTCTCTTTGATGTGGAGAATGTAAACTGAAGACACCAGTTGTCCTGAGGATATGAAGGCCTTTCTCCACGGCAACTACAGGTCTAATTATAGCGGGGAATTTGGCAGGTGTTCAGGTGCTGTTATTTGTACTCACTGAGAGCAAAAAAACTAAGAAATCCGAACTAGAATTACTTGCGATGTTGTGCAAACCATTTTAGTGAACATTTAAAGAGAATGGGACAAAATGGAGCTGGTTTAATATAATGTTAATGTTCCTCTTACTACATGCAGGTTTGATTTCTTTTAGGGTAACAGAGGTAGGATGTAACTATAATTTACCCTTTATGCAGTCAAAATGCAAATGTAATTAATTGTATACCTCCTTCCCCATTTCCTTTGTTACCGTGTGCAAGCTTTTTGGTTATTTTAGTAAAATGCATCGCAATGTGGATCCAGGATACTGGCTGAATTGCTATCAATATTTCCCATATGCATAGCACCGAGAAGACTGTTAATTAATAGTGTAATGGCTTTGGAACGGAGACAGAAACTGCGATACAAACGTCAATATTTCACATTATAGCTATTCCATTGTCTTCTAGCTGCGTGAGTCACATGACTATTTTGGTCCAATCAGTGAGTGATCACTCCTGCAGTAAAAGCTAGGCTAGTTTCATTTGCTGAAGATGGATACTAGCTCTCTTTAGCGTTCCAGATTGCTGGTGATTAATACAATCCAGAAGTTTTACAGTTTTTTTCTTATTTGATCCAAACCATGGATTTGGAGAATCGTTATGCCTCTTCTGTAAATCCATCCCACACACAACCAATCATTGTGAGATTTTTCTAGTGTTTTCTACAGTTCAGCATCCTCCAGCTTGTGTGTCTCTCTTCTCCAGACCCAGGCCTAGACAGGTGTCATCTCTCTCTCTCTCTCTCTCTCTCTCTCCAGGGTCAAAGTGAGCAGGGTGCCTATCCCAGGAAACACCAGAGGTGAAAATTTCAGGTTCAGAAAGTAAAATTCCAGACCAAGATTTTGTTCCATCCAACAACCAACCAGTCGAGTACTTTTGACTGTGACTCTTTATACTCAACTGTGATTGAAACAAAATCTTGGTCTGGATTTTGACATTGGCTCTGGTTTCCTCCCGCAAGTCCAAAGACATGCAGCTGTATCTAAGTATGTATGTTTGTCTGCCCTGTGATGCACTGCCATCACACCTTTGTACCGACTGGGATAGCCCCCCCTTATGTTTAGGGGGGGTGGATCAATGTATATAGTGTGTCTGTAATGACATCTTAATTTGCGGATGACAGACCCCATTAAATTTAAGTTTTTAAATTTAAAAAATACTACCATGAGCATTACTGTGATCATTTCCAAAACTGACAGTAGTTTTGCATAAAGTGGTGATGATGTTCATCCCTCAGACAACAGCTATATAATTGAAATTTTATTTGCTATGTGTACAAGTTCATTGGATCGTGTATTTTTTTGTTTTGCATATCCAATATTGTTCTCTCTCTCTCTCTTTTTAAGACAACACACATTTAGAGGTGGGGGTGAACAGGGTCCATCCGCAGGCTTGGCTGCCCATTCAGTGTCCCTGGATCAATTTTCAGAGAATTTAACCTTGCTGAAGAGCCCGAAAGAGATGTGGCTACTCTGCCAAGTACAGGTTTGGAACCGGCAACCTTCTGATCACAGGCACCAAGGCCTGATCCACTAAGCCACACACACACACACCTCGTGGTGAGGATCTGTGTGCAAACAAACCGACATCATTCTCACTAGGCAGCAGGGATATACTTCGTACTCTCGGTACTGAATCACTATCCCCTCCTGTTTTTTTATAAACCTCGATGCTGACTTTAATTACCTACAAGATACACCTGTTGTTCATCATTAGAAACAGGATCCAAATGGATTCCCATTGTAATAATGTTAATGCTGCACTGAAACCAATAATGCAAAGTATAATTTCTCGGTTCTGCCCACTCGACAAGTAACGCCTATTCTCCAGTAGGGGGAGACAAAGCACGGAGTGACAAACGTATTGTCCATCCAACCATTTATCTTCAAACTGTTTCTTCAATATAGGGCAGGGCGATTCAAATCACGGTCTTCAATGTCTGAGCACTTTAATTGTGAGTGGGGTATGAAGCCTCTGGCCAATCAGAATCAGTAATTATTAAACCAACTACCTGGGAGAACTGGCCTGGATTTGGAATCGAGGGCCAGGTTTGAAGAGCCCTGGTACAGGGAGACACCTTGATTCTAATGTCAGAGGCACACATACATATTATCAGCGAATCAGAGAAAACACACACTCACACAATAACATGCAAACCCCACAAAAAGAGAGTGGGAGACGAAGCCTACTGTTAGGCAGCAGAGCCACCATACCACCCAAAGTTAAAGCCATTTTCTCTAACCATTTAAACGATGCGGTCACAGCACGGCCGGGGGAGTGTTCCAGGAAGCAAAGAACTCAAGGACGACAGATTTGATGACAGTTTCTCGTTGGGGACACGTTCAGACTACGGGCAAATTGGAGATAATGCTTCATCGAACACCATATTTTGGAAACTGGAAAACGGGAACAAATGTTTGTAAACAGGGAAGAAAGTGTGATTGCTACAGGTGGAACTCAAACTCACAACTCTTAACTACGACTACCCCCTAATGACCAATGAACAATTAAAAGTACTCCGCATAATATCTGCTCGATCTAATTACAATATAAACAAGAAACTAGTTTAAAATACAAATATTCTGGATAAATGACTGATGTTTCCATTTTTTCCTCGTTAAGCAAGTGGTAAACCTACCAAATTCAAAGAATTCGTATGTTAACCTAAGGAAAAATGTGTGCCTGACCGCTTAGCAAACCATGTGGTTTATCTTTAGTCGTACGGTCCTGCACCGCCGTCCATGCTGCTTCCGGTGTCGAATCGCGCTGGGATTTTTACGGAGACCCCGTAGGAGCCGAAGCACGTCTTTTTTACTGCAATATTACTTCACACGGACATATAGTTCTTAATATTTTGTTTCGTAATTTTAAAGATCAAGCCCCCATTAACACTGGCTGACATAAAAATTAAAACATTTAAAACGTCATCAATGTAAAATTATTGTAGTGATGTAGAAAAATGTGTTCGTTTATTGGCCGCCTTTTTCCACATACCGGAAGTTTGGGTCCCGGCTGGATAAAACGATGTGCGCCCTTAACACGCATCCTTTTCAGTTGAACACTGAAGCTTCGTCCGGATCATGTCAAGCGATTCTGCGGATTATAACAGGTACGCGTTAAAAAGTGTTCCGCTTTTCAAAAATAATCATAATAATAATATATTGTATTTTCGATGATGGAGTTATTATGGTTGAACAAGTTGCGTATGTTATGGGTTTTTCATTCGCTTTAAAAAAAAATTAAACTAGACAGGCAACTAGTTCTTCGTGATGGTGGATAGTCTTTTCGTTAATAATTGTATTAGTTCTTAGCTGTTTTACATTTTAAGTTCATATTTGAGGTGTATGAAGTGTTTTCCCATGAATATGTGAGGAACTAATTTGCTTTTCGGCCGGTGTGAGGCCGCGCCGGATGTTTGCTTGTCAGGCCTGTTGTTCGATTTGTCCCATATGCTGTGGCCAAAGGCCGCACTGTGACCCCAAGTCGGTCCACTGGGGGATCAGAAAATAATATATATGTTTTATCTGTTTATATAATTATTTTGTCGTTATGTCACTAAAAATACAATATTTAATTCCACAGCATGCGCATGTGAATAGTTCTAATTAGCGAAAACTATGAATTTTAATTTGTGTCCACCTCTAATTTTTTACCGGGGCGTCGGCTTGTATTCGGCGAGGTGGAGATCAGACGCATTAACCTGTAATGGCTGAGTAACTCTTTCTCGGAGGGTGTTGTCCTGTAGTAGACTGTATCTTATTTGTGGTCCCGAAAACATGCAGTATCGCCGCGGCCTCCATAGGCTGCCGTTCGCCGCGCGCCGGTCCACGTGGCATACAGTGCGGCGCCACGAACCTTGCTGGCTGCTCGTACCGAGCTTTAATAAGGATCATCTTTTACTAGCTCAAGAGATCGAGACCATGGGGGCCCTGAAGGAATGGAGCCTGATGGTGTCATCGAGGTGAGTTATGTGATATCTGTGTTCCAGGACCGTCTGTTTAGTACTAAGGGCATCAACATGGTTTTTCTTAATGTCCCCACTCGCAGAGCAATTGGACTGAGAATGTCGATAATTTCGATGACATGAACCTGAAGGAGCAACTCCTGAGGGGTATATATGCGTATGGTTTTGAGAAGCCGTCAGCGATTCAGCAGAGAGCAATCATTCCGTGCATTAAAGGTATGGTCTTCTTGTTTGGGTCTTTAATCTGTTCGAGAGCTGTCAACAGTTGAGTGAGATGATGCTTTCATCTTTCGGGACTGACCTGGAATGGAGACATCTTTCACACTGATCACTCAGATTTTAGAGCTGAAATTTTCTGTGTAAATTGTTTAAATCAACAATGCACTTTGTTCCTGAACAAACCAGTTTCATATGTCGGATTGTGGATACCGTCTGCTTACTTCTTACTTTCGTGACCCATTTCTTTGTCTCTGCATCGCAGGCTATGATGTCATTGCTCAGGCTCAGTCAGGAACTGGCAAGACGGCCACGTTTGCCATTTCAATCCTGCAGCAGCTGGAGATAGACCAGCGAGAGACGCAGGCTCTGGTTTTGGCCCCCACCAGGGAGCTGGCCCAACAGGTATGCTGCACCTGAGGTCATGACACAAACTCTGACATGTTTCAGACCAAGGCGGCATATTTGGATGGGGTTCCACAAAGGTACTGTTATCTTGCCTTCAACTGTACTGTGTGTCGCGAATGAACTAACATTAAGTATGGAGCCCTCTTTCTTCCTCTTCCCCCTGTGCTCTGTATGTTTTTTCAGTTCGGATATGAAATGCTGTGTTCCAAAAAGAGAAGGTTTTTGCAAACCTTGATTGCCTTGGTCTGAAAGTTGACGTGGATGCTTCTTTGTTACTGCCGTTTTATCATCTTACCCCCCCCCCCCAGGACTTATTTTGTAGTTAAACACTATCCAACGGTTTGTCGTCCTCCAGATTCAAAAGGTAATCCTGGCTCTCGGAGACTATATGGGTGCCGCCTGTCATGCTTGCATCGGAGGTACAAATGTCCGAAATGAGATGCAGAAACTCCAGGCGGAGGCGCCGCATATAGTCGTCGGCACTCCAGGGCGGGTGTTCGACATGCTGAACAGGCGATATCTATGTAAGTGTCCATAAAATCGCTCTAGTGTGAGTTGTGGCAGTGAAATGATGCCTTATCATCTTTCGGGACTGACCAGTAATGGAGAAGACTATTGTATCGACCTGATCACGTGTGTGAGAACCACACTTGTTTGTCAGGCCTTGGGGACCTTTTGCAGAAATGTCATCTCATTTCACGCAGCCCCTAAGTGGATCAAGATGTTTGTCCTGGATGAGGCCGATGAAATGCTGAGCCGAGGTTTCAAGGATCAAATATATGAAATTTTCCAGAAATTGAGCACAAACATTCAGGTCAGTTGCATGATTCTTCACACCTGCAAGCATATAGGACCTGTGTGGTGGCTTTTATTCTTTAAAACTAGTACTTGATGCCCGACAGAGGTAATAGACGGGCTGTTACAATAGTATCTTCCATATTAAAGAACTCTGCTAAAATTGGCAGAGTCAGGTCATCTTGGCTTTGGCAATAGTGCTAGCAGGGTATGACATGGAAGTAGAATATTCACACTGTGCTGCACATGAGATGGTGTTGGGCCTCTTTCTTAATGTCCGGTTGCTTCTGTCTCAAGGCCCAGTGTCACATGTCACTGCAATCTGGGTGATGTGTTCTACCATGGCAATTTTTGCAATCATAACTTTTTCTTCTCTGTCAGGTTGTGCTTCTCTCGGCCACAATGCCAGCTGACGTGTTGGAGGTGACCAAGAAGTTCATGCGTGAGCCAATTCGTATCCTTGTGAAGAAGGAAGAACTGACTTTGGAGGGTATCAAGCAGTTCTACATCAATGTAGAACGGGAGGTGAGTTTCTCTCAAGACTGGCAGGTCAAAACCCAAGAAGCAGTGCTGTACATCTGGATCTTTTTCCTTCTTGTTAAAAGCACCCTGCTTAAATTGTGAGATCGAAGTCATGACTTGGTTCTCACAATAATGAAAGTAAGAGTATACTCCAAGAAGGAGAGTGACTGCACAATATCGGAAATGAGACAAGGACGGACCTCTTTCTTAATGTCCAGTGCCCTTTGTCTCAAGATCTTGTGCAACACTTGCTAAATGAAGGTAACCCTTTTTACCGACCCTCGTTTTTCCATTCAGACTGCTCTTTATTTTCCAGGAATGGAAATTGGACACACTTTGTGACTTGTATGAGACACTGACAATAACCCAAGCTGTCATTTTCTTGAACACCAGAAGAAAAGTCGACTGGCTGACTGAGAAGATGCATGCTCGGGATTTTACGGTCTCTGCCCTGGTAAGATGGGCCGAGTTCTTTCATTTCCTAAATTTTAGTCACCTGCTCTTTGGAATTTTGATTTATGCAAGATTCTCATGCCGTTTTCTTGCCTTGCAGCATGGAGACATGGACCAGAAAGAGCGGGATGTGATCATGAGAGAGTTTAGATCAGGATCTAGCAGAGTACTGATCACTACAGATTTGTTGGTGAGTGAATAGATCACTAAGACTGATCGTTAATGGATTTGATGGCATCACACTCATTTAGTCTTAACGCCCCCCCTCCCCCCCAGGCTCGTGGCATTGATGTGCAGCAGGTGTCTTTGGTCATAAACTATGATCTTCCCACAAATAGGGAAAACTATATCCACAGGTAAGTTCTTCCCCTTAACAGTTTTAACAGCTCTTATCTACGTTGGTAATCTCTCTTGTTCTTAATCTCTCTTTTGCCCTCTCTAAACAGGATTGGTCGAGGCGGTCGTTTTGGCAGGAAAGGAGTTGCTATAAACTTCGTCACAGAGGAGGACAAGAGGATTCTTCGAGATATCGAGACCTTTTACAATACGACTGTTGAGGAAATGCCCATGAATGTAGCTGATCTGATTTGAATCCTGGGATGAGAGAGATTTTGTGCAGTGCTCGCTGTTGCTGAATAGACGCGTGCATTTTGCTTTTATTGGGAAAATACTGAATCTTGTCTTGATGCTAAAAGCAGATCAGGTTACAAGTACTAGTGGGGAGATTTGTGTGTGAGGACAGTTGCAGATTCATGTCAGTTTTGACTTGGGATACAAAGACATGAATTCCTTACAGTTTATCAGACATTTTCTTCCTAGTTCAATGAAAATGAGTGTATTAGATATTCTCTACCATTTAATAATTTACTTATGGACTAAAAGGTATAAGTGCTGTATTAAGTCTGCCAATTATGTTAAACTAACATACTTGCAGTTATTCTTGGGTTAGATGCAATTGCCTTCCAAATTAAAGCACTTTCTAGTTAATTTTGTGGAATGTATTATTTATTTAATTGTGTTTTTATAAATGACTTGTTTAGTGTGGGCCATGAAAAAAGCCTTTAGCACACAAATTGATTTAATTGTATTTGACTCGCTTCAAAATAAAGATTATATGGTACTCTGTGTTTTTTCCTGACTCTAAATTAAACGTGCTTTTGTCCCATAAAACAATTGGCTTGTAGATAAGCCAAAGTTACAGTACTTGTATCTTGCGGTGTGTTGTTCACTAATAGATATTTATGTAAACACTGCTTTGCTTTAATGTTCTTGTGGTCTGTGAACCTTTCCCCCCCCCCCCCTGATTTCATAACATCTTGATGTGTCAATATTCTGCTGTGGAAATCTAGTGTCAGTTGAGTTAACATTAATTCCTATTTTCTTAGCTTCAGCCTATACGCAATGCCAAACAGCATGTTGGTTTGAGCTATTCTTGTTAGCCGAAATGCAGGATTAAAGCATATGCATGACTGGCTGTGTGGAATTTAAACGGAGAGATGCTTCTGTGTAGTTGAGTGATATAGCTTAAACTTTTGCTAGCGTACGCCTCACCTCCGCAAAGTACTTTTGCACAGACTTCAGTCACTGTACAATACTCCTGTATTGTCCAATATTCATTCCACTGTTCTAGCAGCATACCCATGTAGTCACTGAGCTGGGAAGAATCTAATTGTGAATATTTGTAGAAAACATTGTTCCAATTCTGGGAGGCCTAAGCCATATAGTTACTGTAAACAATTCAGTTAAAATGCTCTATTTTCCATGCCCTTTATGTCTCTCCATGAGTCCTCTGTGCCAAATGTGATTCATAACAAGATGGCCTAAAAATGCTCATCTATTTTTGAACTTCATGGGCAGTGACATCAAAGCTACAATGTACAGAGCATATTCTACAGCAGCTATTATGTTCTGATATGCTTTGCTCTGTCAGCATAAAGATATGGATGGGATGCAGATGGTATGATGTTCTATTGAAGAGAATATATTTCTGGAGAGTTCTCATAACTGACTTCATAGTTACAAAGACATACACCAGACTTGGAAGGTAGAATGACCTCAACATTTTGAATCTGACTCCTTGTTTGGTGAATTAATCTCAAAATAAGAAATCTGTGCTAATTGACTTAGTCCTGTTAACCATAAAAGACAGCCAATGCGTTTGCCTGCTGAGTTGCAGTCATGTGCGGAGTTCTGTAGTCTTTCATAAGCCAAATAATGTGTCCTTTATTTCAACAGATGGTGTGTGAGGTATATACTACATGGAACTATTCCAGTCTTGAGAAACAACCCGAATATTGATGGTCTTACACTCTGACGATTATCTTAGGAAACATGGCATCATGATTACATGCATCGTAATGGGCATTGTCCCTAATGTTGCAGACCAGGTAAAAGTTTATACCTTTGCTTGTCACTGGGGCTGTACCCTCAATGGTCTGCCTGTACCCTTAGCTGTAGCTAATTGTACCTTATAAGGTAAAGAAATTGACTCTGAGGAACATTTCTGTACCATTGGTGGTACATTAATGCTGTTTGTGCCATTGGGATGTTTCTCAGAGTCCATTTCTGTACCTTAAAAAGGTATGAATGCAAGGGTACAATTTTTAACCCTTTTTCTGAGAGTGTACAGGGGTGATCATTCTATGATTATAGAGATAATTGCTCTCATAGTCTCAGAGACTCAGAGTTTTAAATGCACTGCTGTACCGCGGTAAGGAGATAACAGGAGCATAATGAAACACTTTATAATCCATCCTGATGCAACATGTAACTGCTAGAACTTGTCCTATTTACGAAGCCTTAAGTAGGAGCTGGTGCTGCAGCCATTCATCACGATGAGCTAAAGCAGCGAAGCGATTTGTCAAATGTGAGCACTGATACTCGGGGCTCGGGCTCCGTGCCAGACACTGACACTGCAGAATTTCATCAGGAGATAGAGAGACACTGCGAGTCGCCAGACGTTACCTAGAAACAGATGCTTCTTGCTATGGTCTGGACACTATCTGGCTCTAATATTTTGCCTGTGGCACAATAATTGTCCATTGTGACCAATCAGGAATCCCCAGTGCATGAACTGAAAAGGTTTTTAAATAATTGAATGATTACCCTCACAAAAGCAGTTCAAATTCACAGAGTACTTACATTCTCTGTCAACATGAATCTAGCATTTTGAAATTGCAAAAGTAAATTTATAGATATGAATGATATTAACATGATGTAGAGTTCTGTATAATGCATTAGGAGTGGGAGAGGTGAAACATTTCATTATATAATGTAGAACATACCTAATGGAAAACTTCTACTGGCATTGAGGCAAGACGAATTGCTGTCATAGTCCTTTGGATTTTTTGAAAACGGTCCTTGTATCTTTGTCTAAGTGCTGATGAAGGTAGAGAGAAAACAAATAGTATTAAACAAATCTTAACTTCTCAGCATGGACAACATCTCTATATGTATTACCTATTTATTGTAATATTTATTAAGTTAAAAACATATTTGAGAAAACAAGTAAGATACTTTTTAGCTAAAAAAAACAATCTGGTTCCAAGTCTGATTACACCTTACTGTAACCTCCAAGTGAATTAATGTATGATATGAACGTAAAATGAAATAAGCTTTTATAGAATGAGTAATGGAACATAAATCCATAAAAAACCTCTGAGCTTATCCAGAAAAAAACTGCCCTTTATGAAAATACCAAGACCTCTAAGCAATTAAATTGAAAACTCTTTCCAGAGATATTTATAAACATGACTGCACACTTACCACGATGACACGTCTTGGGCTATTCTGCAGACGCCACGCCCAAGTCAATACACTTCGCTAAAGTCATCACTACAGGGACAAGAAGCAGCGAGTTGCCTCTGTGTGCATTTTTTTTGGGGGGGGGTGCAGTGAAAGAACACTTGCTGGGGGCAGCCAGTTGGGCCAGCACCAGGAATGCGGTGGTGTCAGCAGAACTGCGGAGCTGTGGAGAACACTGCAGACGCACCCATATTTACAATTACAATACCCCGCTGCTGCTCATCAGAATTATTATTCACATAATTGACTCCTCACACCCCTGCCCATGTATTTTATGCAGACATTAAAAGTTGACTCCTTGCATCCCTGCATATTTTCAAGCAAGGTATTTTAATTTAGGAACCATATCTCTCTCAACAATACAGTTTCAGTGCCGCCAGGCGGTATCAGCATCTTTCTGGCCGCACTAACATGAAGTCAGCCTGAAATGTAATACGACGCTCCGCCCACGGTGTGTCACACGTGAGCCATTTTCGAAAAACGAAACGCTACGACGTTTCTCCTGTTAGTGGAAATGAATTAAACGTGTTATTGTCCAGTGGAAAAGAACGTTAACTCTCGTTTTCTTCTCGTTTGAGCACGAAAGAGCAAAACAGCCGCCTGCTTCATCATGCGTCAAATTTACTATTGATTTTCTCAGTATAAATGTTTACAAAGTAGGAGAGCAAAAACTGGCAGCGTCTTACAGTGATCTCAGGTCGGCCGTCTAGACTAGCTTACAAACATGAAAGGCAGCAAATGTGTGGGGATAAGCGCATAGTGGGTATGCGCTTTGCAGGGAGATTCGAGTTACAAACCGCCCTTATTTCCACAAAGCAGAGTTCAGATTCATCAGCAGCAATAGGTCGGTGCTTATAAATACTAAATAGTGCAACAGAAACTCAATAAGGATAGTGGGCCTTATATTATAGCAGCAATGATTTCCGCGCAAGGACACAGCAGAATTTTACAAACAGGTGCATATTTACCTAACACAAAGGTTACTTGCTTTGC